ATTAGGTATAAGTTTGGTTTTAAAATAGGAATGTTTAAAAATGAAGCCATAGTTAAAGGGGTTTTATTGAAAAGGAAAAGTAACAAGTTTACATTTTTAAATTTAATTTAATTGTTTAAAGTATTACAAATAGTAGTACATATGTCTCCTTTTCTTCCACATTGACCTTCTCCCGGCCTCCCCTACTCCCCGGCACATGTCCTCCCCCTGCCCCCCCCCCCCCCCGCAGTGTCTTGCATCCACTGGTTGTGCTTATATGCATGCTTACAAGTCCTTCGGTTGATCTCTTACCTCCTCCCCCAACCCTCCCCAGCCTTTCAGCTGTAGTTTGACAGTCTGTTCGGTGCTTCTCTGCCTCTGTAGCTATCTTTCTGTTCATCAGGTTATAATGTTCTTTAGTACCCATAAATGAGTGAGATCATGTGGTATTTTTCTTTCACTGACTGGATTATTTCACTTAGCATAATGCTCTCCAGTTCCATCCATGCTGTTGCAAATGGTAAAATGGTACATCTACACCATGGATACTATGCTGCTATAAAAGAGAAGGAATTCTTACCATTTGCAAGTTTACATTTTTTATAAAAAGAATCTGAGCCGAAACTGGTTTGGCTCAGTGGATAGAACGTTGGCCTGCAGACTGAAAGGTCCCAGGTTCGATTCCGGTCAAGGGCATGTACCTTGGTTGCGGGCACATCCCCAGTAGGAGATGTGCAGGAGGCAGCTGATTGGTGTTTCTCTCTCATCGATATTTCTGACTCTCTATCTCTCTCCCTTTCTCCCCGTAAAAAATCAATAAAATATATTTTAAAAGAAAGAATCTGAGTTTTGGTTCAATGTATATAGTATTTTTTCATAAATTAGTAATAAAAAGTTTCTAATTCAGGTATTATAAAAATATCCCTGGCTGGTTTGGCTCAGTTGGTTGGGCGTTTTTCCATGCACTGAATGAAAGGTTGCCAGTCTGATTCCTGGTTAGGGCACATGCCAGGGTTGCTGGCTGGATCCACAGTAGGGGGCGTGCAGGAGGCAGCTGATCATTGTTTTGTTCTCACATGGATGTTTCTCACTCCCTTCCTCTCTCTCTCTAAAAATCAATAAAATAAAAAAGAAACAATACAAATTTTCAATAAATAAATGAATAAATAAATACATTAATTAATTAAAAACACTGGTGGATAAATTGAGACATAACAAAACACATAGTGATATCCTATCTAATAAAAGACAAAAAGGGTAATTGACCGTACCTTCACTACACTTTCCATTGGCTAATCAGGGTGATATGCAAATTAACCGCCAACCAAGATGGCGGCCAGCAGCCACAAAGCTGAAGCGAGCAGGAGGCTTGCTTGCTCCAGTGATGGAGGAAGCCAAGCTTCCCCGCCTGCCGTGGCCCGGCTCTAAGCTCTGAAAGCAACAAAGTTTCAGTTATAGAAACTAAAGAAACCCCAGATACCTGCTTTCAGCAGGCCATGGCCACAGACCTGGAGCTGGCTCTCAGCTTCAGTGACAGCAACAAAGTTTCAATTATAGAAGGTAAATAAATCACAGAATAAAAGAAAAAAGAAAAAAAAAGAGAGGCTGGGAGCTTCAGTTGCCGGCCAGCCTGAAAACGGCCCTCAGCCCCTCACCCAGGCTGGCCAGGCACCCCAGTGGGGACCCCCACCCTGAAGGGGGTGTGGCTAGCTGCAAATAGCCATCAGCCCCTCACCTAGGCTGGCAAGGCACCCAAGCGGGACCACCACCCTGATCTAGGACACCCTTCAGGGCAAACCAGTGGGCCCCCACCTGTGCACCAGGACTATATCCTATATAGTAAAAGGGTAACTTGCAAACTGACCCTAACAGCAGAAAGACTGGGAATGACTGGTCACTATGACACACACTGACCACCAGGGGGCAGACGCTCAATGCAGGAGCTGCCCTCTTGTGGTCAGTGCGATCCCACATGGGGGAGCTCTGCTCAGCCACAAGCCAGGCTGATGGCTGCCAGTATAGCGGTGGTGGCGGGAGCCTCTCCTGCCTCCTCAGCAGAGCTAAGGATGTCTGACTGCAGCTTAGGTCTGCTCCCCGCTGGCAAGTAGCCATCCCCCGAGGGCTGCCAGGTTGCCAGAGGGATGTCTGATTGCCATCTTAGGCCCAATCCCTCGGGGAGCAAGCCTAAGCCAGCAGGTGGTCATCCCCCGAGGGGTCCCAGACTGCAAGAGGGCACAGGCCGGGCTGAGGGATTCCTCCCCCCCCCCCGAATGCACAAATTTTTGTGCACCGGGCCTCTAGTAGGCACATAATGCTCAAGAGAACCTTTGCTGTAACAGTATGTATTCCATTTATAATGTGAACTAATATATTGGGTGGCTCCTGCTTTTGTACATAACTATTTACTCCAGTTTGCTACCATAGTGTAATAGCAAATGACTAATAAAGAATACTTTTGCCCCTTCAAGAAAACACAATTCTGTTAGTATGTCTGCCTTCTCTTGGACCATGGCCCTCTGTTCCTGCTTCATGGGAGTCTGCTATGCTAGCATAGCCATCTGCTCATATCAGGGTTGTCATGATACACACATTTTATGTGCACACATCATAGTTAAGGACTAATATACCAAATACTTCTTCACATGAATCATGGTTGTCTAAGCATATACAATAGTTGTCTTAAGCTACATAGATACTTTATTATGCTTAAAGGCTCTGTGTTCAAATGTCATCCTTTTCAGTTTATGCACTACAGTAACTAGAAAATTCACCAATTTTGTCATGAGAATTTTGGGTTTCTGATCATTTCTATGGTCCTTATCTGCACTTCTTTGATGGTCATCTGATCATGTACCATAGATGTATGCATGTTCATTTAATACTAATATCTGCTAATATGCTACAGTTCTCTGTACAGGGTTGGACTTGTTTTGTAGAAATTTGCTAACTTGCGAAGGATATCTATTCCAGTAGTATGTAGAATTTTAATAACCAAGATCATCCCAATAAATTTAATTTAAAAATTTAATCATGGTAAAAACAATAACAGGTCTTAAATATTTAAATGCACATTTTAGTAGTGTTACATATATTCATATTGTTGTACAACAATCCAAGAGGTATGCTTTTTACAGTTTTTAAAATATGTTTATATTGATTTTTAGAAAGAGAGGCAGGGAGAGAGAAACACCTATGTGAAAACAAAACATATATTGATGAGAAGGAAACATTGATTGCATGCCTCCTGCACGCCCCCTATTGGGGATCAAGCATGCAACCCCTGCATGTGCCCTGACCATGAATCAAACCAATGACCTCTTGGTGCATGGGTCGATGCTCAAACACTGAGCCACACTGGCTGGATAGGTGGCATGCTTTTGATAATGTACAATGTCTTAATGGAGTGAGTATCAGGTCCCTCTTCTCTTGTTCAGTGACTACTATGCTCATGTGCTATGGTTTTCTGACATTTAGCATGGTTAAATTGTTTTACCATACATATCTCCACATGCATTGTAATAATGAAGCTTGCTAACAAAGTGCCATGGTAGTTGGAGGGCACATATTATCTCCAACTTCTTCTATATATGATGCAGTCTTATCATGCATAATGATTATTTGAACATGCACCTTAGTCATGAAGTTAATATAGAATTCTTCTCTTTTTATGTATCATACTATATATCATCGTATCTGCTTCCAAATCATGGGTATTTGCTTCTGTTCATTAGCACCTAGTCTTAGTGTGGAGGTTTGCTGCTTATTTATCATGATTATTTGAATGTAACTCATGCTAGAATAGCACAGTTGCACACACACTATTAGTCTCTTTGCTTGTGCAGCATGGCCATCTTCTCCAGGATCATTACTTATGCATTTATGTTTTTTGAGCACCCACCATGGTTCTTTCTTACATTCCGTGGATCATTTCTGTAATTTGGACTTATATCCTGTACCATGTCTCTTTGTTCCTGTAAAGTAATTGTCAATTGTGTATGATGGTTATCTAAGCATTGATGTTTGTTATGTGATCATACAACATTAGGATCTTCCAAAGCACTATGGATATTTGGACATATATTATGGTTTCTGACTATATTAGAGTTGTCTGTGCATACACCATATTTTCTTACTTATATTCCATGACCTGTTCTGTTCATTTCTGTAAAATGACCATCATCTCCTATACAGCTATGAATCATGAATGCCACAGCACATATATTAGATTGACAAGAAATTGCCATTGTGAAACAAAATTGTTGCATATTGGTCCATAATTTATGTGATACAACCTAATACTATGATTACTTTATATGTAATGTGGACATTTCATTATGTCAGAAGTCCACGTTCTCCAGTATCATATTTTTCTATGCCTATACCAGATTGTGTTGGGGAGCCTGTAGCTAGTATATTAAATTAAGAATATTCAAATTGTATAAACTGCATAATGAGGAGGCAAAAGCCACCCACACAGGGTTTTCAGGAAAATTGTTTAACTGTATCAAGATGAGAATCAATCCTAATTATGCTCTAAAGAGATTCCAGGTCTTAATATTCTGGTGTTTTCTACAATCCTTAACTACGGCAAAGGCATTTGTGGCAGTAGAGATCAGAGAGAAGTGGTAGAAAATAAAACGAAGGCATGAGATATTATTTTAAATTTTTGGATTATAAGAGGTGACTGAGGCTAAGAGAAATTCTGTGAGTCACCTAATCATAATAAGGCAAGGAAAGAAATGGAGCTGTAACCTTAAGGCTACTGTTTACTGATTTAGAGTTCTTTACATTACCTTTACTTAGATGGGCTCTGGTAAATTTAAAGAGGGGTAGGTTGGAAATGAATTTTGGTGACATTGATTAACTGGAGAAAAGAAATTGTCACATCAAGCATTAAGTAACTAGATACCAAGGAAGTTAAATGAGTCTAATAGAGTTAAAATCTTTTTTGAAATTTCTTCTTTCTCTTTCCCCTTACCTACTATTTACCCTTTTTCTTTCCCTCAACATGGATCTCACAGGACTCTCCAAGTTGGTGCCTAAGAAGATGATAATCAAAAAAATGAGTTACTTCTACATGACCAGCTTTGGGCTTCTCTTCCTGATGAATATTCCCCCTGAAACAACTGGCCAAGGGGAATCAAGACGACAAGAACCTGGGGATTTTGTGAAGCAGGATATTGGCGGGTAAGATGGCTTAACTCTAAGAAAAGAATCCTGTGATAAATTCTTGTCTTAAACAAAAATTTTTATTATTTTTCCAGATGAACTAAAGGACTCTGGTCCTTGATACTAGACATTGCATTGAATTTGTAAAAGCATAAACAGCTCAGACTTTCAAGGTAGAAAGAGATCTCTTGGGCAACTTCCTAGCCCATGTTTGAATTCTCTCTATAACACCCAAAAGGCAATTCTGTCCAGTCATTTGCTCTCAGCCTTTCATCTGTCCTTTTTATTTATTGGCTCTGTCCTATTAATATTTAAATGTGATCAAGAATCTTCCATCTTAAATTTAAACTTTCCTTCAGATGGTGCCTTAAATCTTTTCTCCTCTTTACAGTCATCTTTAAAGGAGTGTTTTTCTTTGTTTTTTTCTATCTTTCACTCTGCTCCACTGGTGCTGACTTCCAACCCCAGAATTCTAAGGCAGCTTAAGCAACCAACATGGCCAATGTTGACTCTGTTGCTAAAATGATCACTTGTCTGTTCTTACCTATATTTATAAAAGGCTAATATGCAAATTGTCCCCTTGGGAGTTTAACCAGGAGACCGGGAGTTCGATCACTCGCTATGATGTGCACTGACCACCAGGGGGTGATGTGGAATGAATGAAGGCCCGGCCCATAGCTGGAAGGAAGGCTCCAGCTGGCAGCCAGAAGGCCCTGATAGACGCTGATCGCCGGCCAGGCCAAGGGACCCTACCTGTGCACGAATTTCATGCACTGGGCCTCTAGTACAACGTAATTTCTTTAGTACCATGTGGCAACATTCCGCATTGTTGACTCTTTACTCCTTCCTTAACTCCTTTTTCTTATGAAATAAAACATAAATATGCATAAAATAAATGTAAATTTAAACAAAATTCTTTCTTTGACTTCAGAGATACCACAATGCTCTGGTTCTTAGATTAGTAGTCCAAGTGGAAGAAAACATATTCCCTTTTTTATAAGGAAATATGTACTATATTTGCATGTCTAGTTAACCTGATGTTATTGAACACAGCTGGAAAGAGATCCACCCAGTTGCTCTCAGGAGCCAGTGCCAGCCAGGTCCAATAATTAAATATTATTGAGGACCTGAAAGAACTTTAGTTTATGTGGGTTATATCTATAAACATTTATAGCATTAGAAATTAGAAAAGAGAAATTATTTTTATTATTATTTTTAAAATAATTCCTTATTGTTGAAAGTATTATATATGTCCCCTTTTTACCCCCCATTGACCCCCCCCCCAGTCCGCCCCCACCTTCTCGGCCCCAGGCTTTCAGCACCCTATTGTCTGTGCCTAGGACAAGGTTTTTAAGCAAATGATTCATTGAGACGGTGCTCTCAAAGAAAGTTATATGGAAGTAAGAGAAGCAAGTTGGAAAGAGGAAGAAGTAAAGCAAAGGCATGATTTCACTTAAAGTATAGCTTCCATTTGACCCCATAGGGCGCTATAGAACATGAATGGCACTAAAGAATTGGCCCACCTTGAGGCAGTGGCCCACCTTGAGGCAGTGGGCTTTTGTAGCCTCACCTCAATCATTAATTGCCTGAGGACTGAATAGAGGAAGAGATAACCTCCTAGGCTCCCTTCAGCAGATGGTAATACTTTAAAGTTGTTGTGGATGGTTTCTCTGGCCTGGTGAAAGAGATCTAGATATACCACCAATACTACACCTGGATTTCTTTATACTTTTATGGCTATGCTTTCTGTAATATTTGCTACAATATTGCACAGCTATATCAAAGCTTTTGTGATATAAAGATCTTTTGTAATCTGGTAATCTTCTCTTCCATTGTTCATTGCACAGGTGATGGTGGTGTGTTTTTTGTTGTTTGTTTGTTTTTGTTTTAAATCAGGTGCTCTTTTTTACTATATAGACTCTAAGTGACTTAATTCATCCCCATGACATTGTTACTATATATATATATATATATATATATATATATATATATACACACTAGAGGCCCAGTGCACAAAAATTTGTGCACTGGGGGGAGTCCCTCAGTCTGGCCTGTGCCCTCTCGCAGTCTGGGACCCCTTGGGGGATGACCACCTGCTGGCTTAGGCCCGCTCCCTGGTGGGATCAGGCCTAAGCTGGCAGTCAGACATCCGTCTGGCAGCCCAGGAGCCCTCGGGGGATGTCCACTTGCCAGTGGCGAGCAGACCTAAGCTGCAGTCAGACATCCTTAGTGCTGCTGAGGAGGCAGAAGAGGCTCCCACCACCACCGTTGTACTGGCAGCCGTCAGCCTGGCTTGTGGCTGAGCAGAGCTCCCCCTGTGGGAGCGCACTGACCACCAGGGGGCAGCTCCTGCATTGAGCGTCTGCCCCCGGTGGTCAGTGTGTGTCATAGTGACCAGTCATTCCCATTCGCTCTGCTGTTAGGGTCAATTTGCATATTACCGTTTTATTATATAAGAGTGGCTGGCCAGCCTGGGTGAGGGGCTGATGGCTGTTTGCAGACTGGCCACAGTCCCTTCAGGGTGGGGGTCCCCCCTGGGGTGCCTGGCCAGCCTGGGTGAGGGGCTAATGGCTGTTTGCAGGCTGGCCTAGCCCCTCAGCAGGGACCCTCACCCCATGAGGGTGTAGCCAGCCTGGGTGAGTGACTGATGGCTGTTTGCAGGCTGGCCACAGCCCCTTCAGGGTGGGATTCCCGCTGGGGTGCCTGGCCAGCCTGGGTGAGGGACTGATGGCTGTTTGCAGGCTGGCCACTCCCCTTCAGGGTGGGGGTTCCCCCTGGGGTGCCTGGGTGAGGGGCTGATGGCTTTTTGCAGGCTAGCCACAGTCCCTTCAGGGTAGGGGTCCCCCCTGGGGTGCCTGGACAGCCTGGGTGAGGGGCTAATGGCTGTTTGAAGGCTGGCCACAGCGTCTTCAGGGTGGGGGGTCCTGCTGGGGTGCCTGGCCAGTCTGGGTGAGGCACTGAGGGCCATTTAAAGGCTGGCTAACCCCCCCCCCCCAAGCAGGGACCCTCACCCCATGAGGGTGTGTCCAGCCTGGGTGAGGGGCTAATGGCTGTTTGCAGGCTGGTCACAACCCCCGGCCACCCAAGCTCCCAGTGGAGGCTGGCTGGAAGCAGGTACCTGGGATTTTTCTTCTATAATTGAGACTTTGTTGCCATGAGTGGAGGCCACAGCTGGCTCAGAGCAGGAGGGAAGCTTGGCTTCCTCCATCGCCTGGGCAGCCAAACTTCCTGCTTGCTCCAGCTCTGTGGCTGCTGCCACTATTTTGGTTGGGTTAATTTGCATATCGTCGCTCTGATTGGCTGGTGGGCATGGCTTAGGGCATAGCAAAGATACAATTAGCATCTTTGTATTTTATTAGTGTAGATATACTGATGACTCTTATCTCAGTCACTGTTCCTAACTTCTCTTGACTGTCAGACCTCTAATTCTAACTATATATTAGACATGTCCACTTGGCTATTTCATAAACTGTTTAAAGTGAGTATGTCTAAAATAGTAGCATTATCTCCATCTCTCTCCTTCAACTCTAAAAACTAAGAACAAGCAAACACAACATGCATCCTGTTGCTCAAGCCAGAAACTTGGAATCATTTTGGCCAATTTTCTACCCTTCACTCTTCATATTAAATCAATCACCAAGAGCTGTCATTTTTACCTCCCACATCCATTGGATTCATCTACTTTTTTCCAACTTTCCTGCTACCACTCTAATTTAATATAATGTTTTCTTCTACTTGGACTACTATAAGAGTCTCTAATTGGTTTTACTTCCTAAAGTCTTGCTCCCATCCAGAGTAACTGTCACTCTGTAGCTAGTGTTTCTTCTACAGTGCATGTTAAGTCATATCTTTTCTGTTTAGAGTAATTTAATGGATTTTTATTGTCCATAGATTAAAATCTAAACTTCTTAACATGATTTTATAAGGCCCATTAAGTCCTAGGCTCTACCCATCTTGTTAGACTTATTTCTTAGTCCTCCTATCACCAAATTCTGTGTTATTCAGCTATATTGAACTATTTTTGACTTTTTTATAAAACTTCTTTTGATTCAAAATCCCATTTCATTCAAGGAATATCATTACTAGAAATGATCCCCTTTGCCTTGAAATAGTTCAGTATTACACAGTGTATTTTATTCTTTGATAGTGGCTTTTTTGTTCTTGTTTTACATTTGGCTACTGTCCCATATTCTTGGAAGCATTACGATTTCTTCTAATTATTTTTGCAGGGTTGATTACCTTAATGTACTCTGAGTCTTTCCATCTCTGGGCAGAGGGCTATAGAATTGAATTAATATGTCTTTAGATACTTGGCCCATGTGAGGTTCTTTTTGTTCTTTACCTCACTCTGGAAAAAAAAAAACAGATTAATTCTGCTTTATTAACTTTTCATGTATCTGATTTCATTGTGCAATGATAGATATTCTAAATAAGGAAGAATTTCCAAATACAAAACCTTATCTCTTCAAGTATTTTTATTAAAAAATTTTTAATATCCACATTATTGCAGGTGTCCTCTCTTTTCCCACCTTTTGCCCACTCTAACCATCCCCAGCTCTGCCTCCCTTGGCCTTCACCAAACTACTGTTCTTGTCCATAGGGTATGCATATATGTTCTTTAGCTAGTCCCTTCATCTTCTTTATCCACTCACCCCCACTCCCATCCCCTTGGACACCAGCCAGTTTGTTCCATGTGTCCATGCTTCCAGTTCCATTGTATTCATCAGTTTATTTTGTTAATTAGATTCCACATATTAGTGAGATCATATGGTATTTGTCTTTCTCTGACTGGCTTATTCGGCTTAGCATAGTACTCTTGAGGTCCATCCATATTGCCACAAAGGATAAGAATTGTTTTGTTTTGTTTTGTTTTGTTTTGTTTTTTCAGCCGGGTAGTATTCCATTGTGTTACTGTACACATTTTTATCCACTCATCTTCCAATGGGTACTTAGGCTGTTTCCAGATGGTGGCTATTGTAAGTAATGCTGTTATAAACATAGGGATGCAGATATTCTTTCTGATTGGTGTTTCAGGATTCTTAGGATATATTCCCAGAAGTAGGATTGCTGCGTCAAAAGGCAGTTCCCTTTTTTAGTTATTTTAGGAAACTCCATACTATTTTCCGCATTGGCTGTACCAAACGGCATTCCAGCCAACAGTGCAAAAGGGTTCCCTTTTCTTCACATCCTCGCCAGCGCTTGTTGTTTGTTGATTTATTGATGGTAGCCATTCTGGCAGGTATGAGGTGATACATCAATGTTGTTTTAATTTGCATCTCGCTGATGATTAGTGACCTTAAGCATTTTTCATGTCTATTGGTCATCTGTAGGTTCTCTTTGGAGACTTTATTTTTATTTATAGTTTTCACATTGCATTATGTTAATTTAAAGCAAATATTTAAATAATTCTTACTATGTACCTAGCATGAGTCTAAGTCCTTTACATATGTTGACTTATTTTTTATAACAGATCTACTAGTTATTTGTGGCTGTTATACCTGTTTTAGAGATGAAATATGGAAGCATGGAGAAGTCAAGTAACTTGCCAAAGCTCACCCAGCTAGACAGTCACAGAGCCAGGACTGAACCCCAGACAACCTGGGTCTTAGAGTCCTTGTTACCAACTGCAACAATATATTGCTTTTCATGCATTTCGTCACTTTTATTTAAGAACTAGGCACATACCCATTTCTTTTATGTACATGAACATTTAGGTTCATATATGAATCCCTCAATCTCTGAATACTTAATATCCCAGCCACAGACTGACTGGATGGCACTTGCTAAAATGGGGCAGGTCCAATTTTCTTATAAGACCTGAAGGAATAAGAAATACATTTCCCTTTTGAAGTAGAAATGTAGCATTTGTGACACAGGCCATGGATGGACATTTGAAGCCAGGATGAAGAATACTTGGTAGGTGGTGCTATGACTTCCTGTTGCATCACGTCACAAGGCAAAGTCGTCTCAGTATTACTGATGCTAAATAGGATCTCTTGGTTAAGGTGATGAATATCAGTACTCTCCATTGTAAGAATACCAGCCACCAGGATTGATTTAGATATTTGAGCTGGTGGCTATGGGAGTGGGGCAGAGAGATAAGAGATAATCAGAAAGAGTTTTGCACAAAATCAATTGAACTCCAACAGACTTTTATGTAATGTGGATTCAGAATATTGGTTGATTCAGCCAGCTATGGGCTATCACCTGGAAGGGTGTCTGTATATATCTCTTTAGCATATTGATCTCAGTTAGTTCTTCACTACAGTTCCCTTCTCCCCCCTACTTCCCAATGAATCTGTATCACTTTTAGCACTCTGTCCACTAAACCAGTCAATCTTTCTACTCTTCACTGGGTTTCAATGCCTCTCTGACCAAAGCTTTCTTTATGGCTTTTGGTTGATGGTGTGCCAATATTTTGTTACTATTTAAACTTAAATAATGCATTCAAGTACATAAGCTATTATTTTTAACAAAGAAAAAAACAAATTGTGAATACTTCTAGATATTAAGCATTAAGCTTGGCAATTTTAATAAGTACTTAATATATGAATAATAAGACAACATACCTATGAAGTCATTTTAATTTTAAAGATGAAAAACTTACTAGAGGTGCTACATGACTTGCTTAAGGTCACACAACTGATAAATTCAAATGCATGTCTCCAGATTCTTTAAGCTTAGTTCTATTTTTCCCTCCATGAGTATCTATGTTATAATTTGATTATCTCAGAAACCCTGTAAGCAGGGAAAGATTACTTACCTTGTTTTACCTTTTTTCCTTACTCTATCGTAATATGTAGAACAGTAATAGGTACATAGTTGATGCTTAATAAAGATGCATTGAATGATCAATTGAATTTAATTAAGTTTATGAATTAAGGGGGAAAATTGGGGGTTCAAAATGAATTTTCTGGGATTATTAGCTAGAGGGTGACAGTTTAGAGTAAAACTTTTCAATTCAGATGTTTCTACTATTCTGTAGATCTTTCTCAGTGTCTTTTTCAGAACAAGAACCTTTCTCACTGCTAGGGATAAATATTGGTGGGGATACTATTGAGTGTTTTGTAAGACTCCTCAAATGTTATTCTATGTCTTTTATAGCCCTGATTAACTGGATGCTAGGAATAGTTATTATCTACTAGTATCTATTAATTGCAACCTTTGGATCCAAAGTAAGAATGGGGAAAGCAGACCTAAGGAGATACAGCACTGTAACTTACTTAACTGGTCTATTCAAAATAAATCACAAGAATTTCTGACTTTTGGTTTATTACTTAATTTCACATCATGCTTCTTGTCAACTGCCATTTCTTCTACAATTTTCTGGTTTCCCTGAACTATTTAGGACCTTTATTTCTAGTCCTATCAAACCACAATAAGCTCCTCAGGAGGGCCTGATTAGGTGGTTAATATAGTGACTAGTGCTTTGAAAGGCTTACGAAAGACATCCAAGATGGAGAAGTAGGAGGTAGCTAAGCATTACTAGAAAACCAGAGAACTTAGATTACAGTCCTATCTCTGCCTCTCACCAGCAGTATGCCTGTGGGCAAATTTGGTGTCCTCTCTGAGTTTATTTCCTTATGTATAAAATGAGAGATTTTAGGGAATCTCTTAAGAGTTCTGATAACTTTAACATTTAACGGGTTACTATTGCTTTGTTGCCCTATCTCCATAGGCGGGATGTAAAAAGACTAGATGCAATTCAAAGGTTTGTCTGGCTCTGTTGTTCTGTGTACTGTGTTTCTCTAGACTAGAAAAAGGAGAGTTCTTAGTTTAAAAGTTTTCCTTGTTTTATTTTGAGTTCCTTTCATTTTATGCGACAAAATTTGCTGAATCAACTTTATGCCAGGTACTATTTCTAGGGACATTCTGTCCAGGATTTCTCCTTGTGTTTCTCTACTGCGAGTTGGGGCTGGATCATTTGTTTGGTAAAGCTCATGCCAGTGCTGGAATAAGAGTACAAGTATAGTGACCACTGTCTGCCCCCTGCATAGGTAATCATTGTGACAAATAGGAAGTGCTTATTGGTTTGGTTAAAATACAAGGCTATTTAATTAACCCAGTCTATTGATTGAAATCTTCTTGAATTAAAGTGTTTAGACATATAATTGTTTTCTATTAAGAACTATTCTTTTTCGTTTGTTTTTCCTTCTACTGCCCCAGACTCTCTCCCAAACATGCCCCAGATATTCCCGATGACAGCACTGAAAACATCACTATCTTCACCAGAATCTTGGATCGTCTTCTGGATGGCTATGACAATCGGCTGCGACCTGGTCTTGGAGGTCAGTTACTACTTTAAGATCTTCTGCTTGGCTGTGTTCATCAGAAAAGGTGCTTTTTAAACACACACACACACACATATATAATTGATTTCAGAGACGAAGGGAGAAGGAGAGATAGAAACATCAATGATGAGAGAGAATCATTGATTGGCTGCCTCTTGCACACCCCACACTGGAGATCGAGCCCACAATCTGGGCATATGCCCTGACTGGGAATCGAACCGTGACCTCCTGGTTCATAGGCAATGCTCTGAACCATGTCGGCCATGGTAGATGATTTTTTTTAAATCAGAGTTTTGGCTGTTTGTGGCTGTGTCCCGCTATGCAGCTCTGCCTTTGTGGCAGAACTGCAAGAGAAAAGAAGAAAAAAAGGGTTCCTTCGCCAAGTTTTGAATCCCCTCCATAAATCACCTGTTTGTTTTACTTTTCAGTCCTTGAGTGGGTGCTTTTATATTTTGTTCCAAGATTTTATTTAGAATCTGTGGGAGAGAAAGACTGCATGGCACTTAATCCACCATGCCCAGAAGCCACTTTAGTTTTGTTTTAATTTTAGTTCTTCACCATCTTTTTCTTACAGTCTATTTTGTGTGTGTGTGTGTGTGTGTGTGTGTGTGTGTGTGTGTGTGTGTGTTTTTCTTCTACTCTGAGCCCTATTCCAAAGTGGATTTACAATAGTATTTTGAAGTATTTTCTCTCTTGTGATATTGCTAATACACTCTAGGTCCAACAAGTTTACTTGGCTCAATTCCTAATCCCAAAACTGTTTCTTTGTATATCATGTTATCCCCACCCACCCCCCAACCCAAGCTTGTAGCCTCAAACAGAGCCCTAAGCATCAGTTCAGCTTAACTTTTTCTATCTTCTTTAAAAGAAGAGCCCCAGCTCCGACCAGTAAACACTCGGCCTGTTTCCAGCCTTCTCTTTTTTACAGAGTAATATTTTAGTCTCTTTTATTGCAGTTACTTTCAGACTCATAACTCTGGCTTCATCCTTACACCTTTGTTTTGTTTCTAATCCCATGATATTTTGATCTTTTATTTGAAACAACTATATCGTTTTGTCATATATTTCATGCTTTATCTCATTATTGTGTGTTTGGATCAGAGTGGTTATACTGAGATATGAAGTTACTTGTGCCATCTTATCTGGACGTCCCAAACACTTCTTAAGGATGGTAATGTATATGACTCTGGTAGCATCTTTTAATATATTTTGGCCTTGGAAACCATAGTATTTTTTAAATATTTGAATAATAACAAAAGCAACTACCATTTTTAAATTAAATGTTATTGGGGTGACATTAGTCAACATGAACATATAGGTTTCATATGTGATTACTGTTACAATATCTGTATATAGCACCATGTGCCCACCACCAAAAGTCAAATCTTCTCCTGTCACCTTATATTAGGACCCCTTTCTCCCCCCAACCCCCTCCCTCTGGCAACCACCACACTGCTGTTTGTGTTCATAAGTTTCAGTTTTATATCCCACATATGAGGGAAATCATATAGTTTTTAGCTTTTTCTGTTTGACTTATAACTACCATTCTTATAGATAAGGAAACTAAGGTATAATTAACTTGAAGTAGGACCAGTAGTCCATGTTCCTATACCAATGGTTTTGCCATTTATTAATTTTATGTTTAAGCTAAAATTCAGTAGGGAATTTTAAAACTGGGAAAATACCAAAGCATCCTTGTAACATTTTGGGAAATTCCAGCTGTTTTAAAAATTCTGTTATTTCTCCCCTGGCTTTCAGCTTTTCCTGAGAGTAGAGAAGACATTGTGTTTTCTTGGTCATTATTTGGGCACTGCATCAACTTCTTTCTCTAATTTTGTTACAATGTTGCCCCATGGAAACCCTCTTAGCTCTCAGGAATGGACTCTATTGCAGCAAAGAGGTATGAATCTCTGTAGAGGCTGCTCTCAAATGTTTTCATTTCTTCTACAGCTGATACTGACATTTCTTTCCATGTGGGTGGATAGTTCCATATACTTACCTTTTTCCCCTGGGACTACAAATCCAAATATTGCCATTGGTCCCTATCACAAGAAAGGGAAGTCACTAGAAAATTCTGAGGGCAAAGATATTCTAGGAAGGTGCTGCTGTAGACTATAGTAACACCACTGGGCGCATTGAGCACAACATCCTTTCTAGAGAAAACTGAAAAATACCATTTGAATATTTTATTTCCATGGAGAAAAACCTGGATATTATTATTTTTCCTATCTTCTTCTTTACTGCTTATTTCTTGTTTGTTTGTTTTTTCTATGGTGCCTATCTTTTTGTTTCTAATTTAGTGCTTCTGACTTACTCTGGGTTTAGAAACCAGGAAACCAAAGATTTATATACTAGTTTTAAATGAACTTTAGATATATCTGTGCTGAAACCCTTCATATTCTTGATAAGGAACCTGTGGCTCAGGGAGGTAAAAGTGCCATTCAGGATAATAGAGTTTGTCAGTAGCACTGCTCAGGTTTGTACCAAGAACTGAAATGAGATTCAGTGCTTTTTGCATTGTATTCTGGGTAAGTATTGGGTTAGGCAACAAATAATAGGTGCAGGGGAAAGGTTGCAGGAGAGGAATATCCAGAATGAGTGAAAGACAAATGCAACCATTTGAATTGAAACTTGAGATATGTTTTGGTGCTTTACAATTTAAGTATTAAATGCCCGATTTAAAGGAAGATGAAATGCAGAGGGTGATGGTACAGGAATCAGTGTTTGTGTGGAATCGGTGAAAGGAGTTGAGTGATCTGAGTGCTGTCTAATGCCAGCAACTGTTATCTAGCTTGGGACTGAAAGGCATATTTTAGGGTCTCTTTAAGACTGAAGTTCCTGAGAATTTTGGGAAACAGGCAGTTAATTTTGTTCTGTACTACCTGTGGGAGGGTCAGGTTCTAGCAATAGTGGAATGAACGAGAACCCACAGTGATTACGTAGGTGGTAATTGTGGTCTCTCTTAAATCTTGTAGTATTTTTTACTGGTGTTTATAAACATGCATTGCGTATAGCTAGCTATTGAAAATTTGCTGTACATTTTAGGTACCAGACACTAGATGGAGCAGCATAAACGCAGTGCTAGATTTCTAAGAGACCAAATATGAAAGTTGTGAGTTCTGTCAGAACAGCCTGCAAAACGATGTGTGAGTCAGTTGCAAAGTTTAAATTATAGCTCAGGACCTCTGACACAGTCTTATAATTTCTGCTCCCTTAGGCCACCTGTTTCTGATTACTCCAGAGATTTAACCTGTAATTCATGCTATTGGGAGATGGGTCACTGATTACTTACCCCCCAAGGATAGTCAAAGACAAATGGAAAGATCATTAGCATGAGAACAGAGAAATCCAGCTCTCCAATCCTTGAGGGCCTGTCAGGGTCACTGTAGCCCACTCCCTAAATCCATGTAGCTAGCTGACCCAGACAGCTAGTCACATGGCACTAGGTTTTCAGCAGTTTGGTCTCCCTTCAAGATGAAAAGTGTGCACTACAATAAACACTTATTCTCCAAAATTTCCAGTGATCTAAAAGAAAACAAAAATGTCAAAGTTTTATTTATTTATTTTGTTTAGCTAATGTTCCAATCCTCAAAGCCTCACTATTCTTAAGAAAACTGTCTTTGGGAAGGACTGAAGAGTACATCTGTGCTTAAAATGATTTAAAGGGGTATAGTTAGCTTTTGTTCATATAATTCATTTTAGGACCTTGTCTTTAGTGGAATTGTAACAAACTTTTTCTACAAAACATATTTCAGGAATGACAGTAAAACTTCAGACCTGAGCCAGAGGAAAGTGAATGGGGGATAGTGAGGGTCCTTAAAACCATGTCAAAAGAGGGGAAACACAGTTAATGGAAATAAGGATATTTAGTCTGAAAAGGAACAAGAAGAACAGACTAAGGGATACTGTGATCACTTTCTTTTGATTTCTGAACATTTTTAAATCTCAAAAGAACAAGAAGCAGACCTTGTTGTGTGGTGGAGCAGTGTTTATAAATATGCTGTGGTGGAGCACTATAATTGGGCCAACTACTCTGGTTTCTGATCAAAAGAGAAAATTCACAGTTTCTTGGGGGATCTATTTGAAGTTAAACTAGAAAATCCAATTTGTTATGAACAATATATTTAATATAAACATAGTGATCACTTATTGGCTTATCTTTATTCTTTTAAAAAACAATTAGAAATGGCATAGAGACTGGTTGATGAGTTTCCCATTGATGGAAGACCCAATGCCACAGTAAATTTACCAAAGAAAAGAAAATTCTATTTACCGTTTGTTTCAGAGGATAACATTGGAAGGAAATTGGGTACCCAAAGCAAATTAAGAAAAAGTCAAGGAGCGTCTGAAAACACTTGTTTAAAAAGCAGGGGAAATTCCTCTTTTTTTTTCTTTATTGATTAAGGTATTATATATGTGGGGAAATTCCTCTTATCTGCCCATTAATTTATGTTTCACATTTGTCTCTCCTGTGGGCAGGAGCTATTGTATAAGTTAGAGCCATTATCAGGTTTAGTCTAATTCACTTAGATTTTCATTTATTTAAGTGAAATGACAAATTCCTAATCATTGCTTCAAAACAGAGGAGCTGTAGTAGTGGGTGGATATTGTCTTCTATGTCTGGGACCCAAGATCTTAAACTTCCAGGTAAGTTCTGTCCACCTGGCTTTATTGTATCACCTCTGGAATAGTATTAAGCAGCAGCAGCAGTTAATGTATACTGAACACTGGATCTGTTCTAACTACTGGCCTAAATAACATCTCTTTATTATTTTTCTTTATTGTTGAAAGTATTACAGATGTCCCCTTTTTAATATCATCTCTTTAAATCCTCTGAACAATTCTGAGGTAAGTGCTATCATTATTCCAGTTTTTTCACATGAAGAAACAGACACAGAGACAAAAGGCAGAACCTGAACTCAAACCCAGTTAGTCATGCTTTTAACCACTGTGCCATACTTCTGCAGGACACTTCCCTGAGTGTTGTTATATACTCTGATCCAAGGCAGCTGGATTTCCTAGTCTGTAAATGGAATGTAGCCATTGGGGCTTGGTGGTCCCTGTGTGGAGTACTGGAGCACTGTCAAGTTTCCCTGTATTTGCTTAGCCTTTGAGTAGAGGGTCAGAGCTCTAAGGATATTAACATAAATTCACAACCCTCCCTCACTTGAGCTGCCAGGACATAAGTAACAATCCCTGCCTCCACATCCCTCTACATGAGAGATTTCTGGCTATTTTGATGAAAAGAGCATTACCTCTCTTTTTCTCTTAGCATCTTCTCTCTTGCTTTCTCTTTCTCTCTCTCACTCTTAGTTCTTCTGGCTATCTCTTGCCCTGTAACTTTCTGTGTAGTTAGTTTTATTTCCTCTTCTCAGTCTCTTTCTTTACCACTGTCCTATTGTTTTACTTCTTCCTGTTCATCCTTTCTTTCCGTTTTTCTTCAATCCTCTTCTAATGACCACTTTCCTATTCCTTTCTTTCCACTTATTTTTTCCCTCTTCCTTTCATTTACACCACTTCTTCTAATTCTCTTTATTTGCCATATTCTTACCAAATGGGATGGAAATGGAGAAGGAATTAAGTGTCCAGTGTACAATACCAAACTTCCCAACTTTCCCTGCAATAAAGTCAGTGAAAGTTCTGTAGCTTGGCTAGGCCCTAATTTGGGAAAGCAGCCTCTCCCCACACTGTTTCTTTCTTAGCAATCAATGGTTGCCTTTTAAATGAACACAAACAATTGAGAGAGGAGGAGGAGCATCAGATTTGCACAAAACCTCCCATCTTCCTTAGGCAGCAAAGAAAGCATGCCACTTGTTACCATCTGGTACCTTTAGTCAGATGCTTTTTGCTTGGTGCTACAGTCAGAGAGTTCCTAGTAGAGCTCCTCTGTTCTGAGTGAAAATTCAGAATTTGACTGGTCCGAAACCCTTGTTGTACAAGAGAGCAGAAAAAGGAAACATTCTTGGTAAGGCGCTTAGCAAGCCAGGCTTCAAAGATCTAGAATGCAAGCCTTCCAATTCCAGTCCAAGACTCTTATATTTTAGCTACTTCCCTTTCTACCTCCAGTGACTCTACTGTCCCATTGAAACTAGAGCAGTCTCCTGCCACTTGATTTTGCTACCATTCTCTCTCTCCTTTTTTTTTTTTTCCTGTAGTCTGGGCCCCCTATTTTTAGGCTGCATAACTATCTTGCAATTTTGCAATTACTAATATATTGGCTTAGAAAGTTATTGTATGTCTAACTATGTCCTGCCTGGCATATTGGATTCAAATATAATTGTTTGAATTATATTTGAATCTCCCATTAATTAATTAATTTTGTTTTCTGTACTAAGAGAAAGAGCAATGCTTCTCCAGCCAATGAACCTGGCATTGTATCTGAAGGTACAGGTCTTTAGGGTGCATGCTCTGGGTTCTGAAGTGTTGTCTCTTCTTCAAGCACAGAAATGGCTTCAAAGGATGTCTGTGCCCTAGATGAGAGGCTATTTAAAGCACAACTCTTGTTTCAGAGATATGTCATTTGCTGATTAAGCTTGGGAGTAAATTGTGTGTTTTGATAAATTGACTATAGTGTTTATTATTATTAAACTAGAGGGCCAGTGCACAACATTCATGCACTGGGGGATGTGGGGGTCCCTCAGCCCGACCTGCACCCTCTCCAATCTGGGAGCCCTCAGGGGAGCCCTCTCCAATCTGGGAGTTTATGTCTGTCTTTGAAATCATATGAGCGAATTGTCTGAGTCCCCAACTCAGTTTGGTTTGTTGCTCACAGAATAATAGAGGCTTTTTTTTTCCTTCGCTTCATTGGTGGAGATTTTCTGGAAGTTTTAGGATATCTTCCCTTTAATTTTTCCTAGACACTCTGATTTTACTTATGTTTCTCACCTTTGCTTTCCCTCCATCCCCCACCACAACAGTAACTTGCTCTAGGCTCACTTTGCTCTAGTGTCTAGGAGATTCGTCTGCCACCAGAACTATGATTCCAAGCATTTCTGGTGCTCCCCATGCTCTGGGCTTCCACTTCCGGTCCTGGGGCTGCCACCAAAACTACTATTCCCAGAATTCCTGGTACTCCCCGCGATCTTGGTTTTCCCTTACTGCTCTGGCTCTGTCCCACTTTGCCAAGCTCTCCCTCTCTGCTCTCCATCTGGCCTACACAGGAGCCAATTCCCCCAAGCTGCTCCACTCTCTGCCTGCTCTCCCACTCTGCTCTCTGCCTGGTGCCTGTGTATGCAAATTAACCCGCCATTTTTGTCAGGTTAATTTGCATACTCATTCCTGATTGACTGGTGAGTGTAGCAGAGGGATGGTCAATTTACATGTTTCTTTTGTATTATATAGGATGATACCCATAATCTCTTCTGAAAATTAAATGTTTGTGGATGCATGCAGTGGCCTTGAGTATACTAGTATGTGAGTAGGCGAACAGTGTATTAAGCCTAAGGGATGGTCTGGAAAGTGGGAAGTCAAGCAAATCTAAGGTACGTGTGGGCCAGAACCCAGGACTGGATGAGTAGAGTGAATATGCTACACATGGAGTAGGTGTGTTCCCTTCTCCATGAGGGAAAAGAAATAGTGCTATAGACTGCATTAGCCAGTCTCATTACATACATACATTGAGTCTTGTGTGGACTCTGTTTGTGTTAGCTGTGTTACTGGTGTGCTCTACTGGGGTCAGCTGTGCTGGGCTGGAGTGGGACTTGTTTGAATTTACTGTAATGATGGGGTGTTTGGTAGGTTGGAATGGGCTTTGTTAGGCTGGACTAAGCAGCCCTATGCTCTGTTTGACGTATGCTGGAATAGATATGCTAGTCTGGGCTGCAAAGGGGTAGACAGGGCTGACACAAGCAAGAAAAGAGAAACTTAATAGTATAATAACTTTACTTTTTTGGGTATCATTTTCCAACTTGGCAAATATGTGATGAATTCATCCATTCAGACCAAATTGTTCAGTCATCATTATCTGAGTAATAGGTTCCTTTTCTATGTACTGAGGATACAGAGATAACAAAACAGGGAAACTGCCCTTCAGGGATTCTTGGATTAGGTAGGAAGGCAGACTAGAAAGTAGACAGTTACAAGAAAGAAAAATAAATGCAAAGAGAGTGTATGAGGTAATGTCAGTCATCTCCAAATATTTGTCACTTAACCCAACAAAAGTTTATTTCTCACCCATGCAAAGTCTATTGTAAATCTAGACTCTTGTTAATTTACCTTTATTATTGAAAGTATTACAGATGTCCACTTCCCCTGCATGATCCCCTTCTCCCCACTGCTACCCCCTCCAAAGCCTTCACCACACTATTGTGTCCATGGGCAACCCTTTAGGGCAGTTGTTCTCCATGTGTTGGCTCATCATTCCAGGCTATATCAATCTTATGGTAGCTCCACATCAACATATGATGTTGACCATATGATGACCACGGCAGGGAGGGGCTTGTATGGGACCATAATTGTTCTACCCAGGGAGGGACACATATTACTTCATCACATAAACAAAACCAGTCCCATGACCCCTCCCTAATTTAAGCAGGCAGTGGAGTGGGAATGCATTCATTTTATGTTCCTGAAAGTGGAAGAGGATATTGGAATATTTGTAACCTACCACAAGTAAGGATATTCCCAGTGTGAATGTCCACCACAGGTGATTCCAGAGATCTCTAAGGACTCTCACTAAGCTTTGGGATTCTGCTGTAATTCTCAATGACACCTAATGGGATGGACTTTGTATCTGTACCTAGCATGTTCTCCATGAAGAAATAGTACAAGTAAGAGGGTTTTTTTTAGGGGTTTCCCTCTGACTGTGCCAAATACCCTTTCTCAGATGTAGCAAGCTGGTTATCATTCCAAGTATTGCACTGGTCCTTCTCAGAGCTAAGGCCACAGGTTTTCATGACACTCTGCTTTTCTATTTTCTTTGGCCCAGATGCAGTGACTGAAGTGAAGACTGATATCTATGTGACCAGTTTTGGCCCTGTGTCAGATACTGACATGGTAAGTGTAGTTCCTGGTAAAGTAAGAGTGAAAGATGATACATCATATCAAATAAAATGTGTTTTTTCCTCTATGGCAGGGCCTTGTAGCTATGTCCTATGCAGAAGTCTTATCTCAGATGAATTCTCTATCCTCACCAACCTACATTTAGCTGAATCCATCTCTTGCCCTGCTCTCCCCACATATTTGCATAAAAAGCGTATACCCTCAACAGGAGTATCCTTCCCTTCTTTATACAACACATCTTTCAAAATCAACCTGGCTTCCTATCCTCAATTAAACTTTCCCTGACTTCTCCCTTCACATTTTGCCATCACCACACAATATTAGTACTGATAAGTCATGTGAAGAGAACATTGTGGTGGACACTCTCAGTTAAGCAGCCAGTGGTGTTATCAAAGAAGCCTGTTCCTTGCAAACAGGCCCAGGGACTTGGCTTGGCCAGGGTGATGCAGAGTGTTTGGAGTAAGAGTCTAAGCCACTTCTGGAAACTTATCCTTCTACTGATGTGAGCAATTAGCTTTGGAGCATATTTAAGGAACAGGGCGGAGCACAGTAGAGCTAGAAAGGGGATGACTCCTGAGTCATTTGCAAGGACTTTCCCTTCTCCTATTGTTCTCCATTGGTGCCAAAGCAAAGAATGCAGAGGAGAGTTGAGACAGGAGACCCCATCCTAATGGACCATCTGATTAATATCTACTAAGTATTAGATATTGATTGAATAATTATTATATCAGGGAACAAAAAAGCTATTATCTGCTCTGTATGCCTGGCAATTATTAGATACTCAGTAAATTTTTGTTGAATGAGTGACTTTGTGTTGAAAATAACAATTTTTAAATCAGAAAAAATATATTTAAAAATATGAAATGTCCATGTTTATTACTTATTTTTCTCTGTATCACTATATTCAGTGAGACTACTACTTAGCAAGGGACAGAGCTTATTTAGACCTGTTGGGTAAATATAAACAGTGTCTAGGGACATAATAGAATTTGCCCTTTACATAATACAGAAACATTGAGTAGGGCAGTAAAAATATGCTTTGTTTTAGAATGATTGATCTGGCACTCTGTACAGGATGGACTATAAGAGGCAAAAGACTGGAGGATGAGAATTGGTTTAGGCATGTTGACTTCACAGGACTCTCCTTTCAGTCACACAGTTCTAGGAATCAGTTGGAAGAGCAGGTTAGTTCTCAGGAGAGGGAGTCATGAGTGGTTGTGAGGGAAGGCAGGGGATGGTAGAGGCCTAAACTTTGTATTTCAGGTGTGGAATAAAGAGAAGGGTGTGCATGGATATAGTAGACTCCCTGTAGACTCCTTAAGGGCAAGTACCAAGTCTTTATAGTTTCTCTGGCTTTTAATAGAGTGCTTGACACACAGGGAGAGCTCACTGAGGGGCATGTTTGACATGGGGGACAGAGGTAATGGATCTTTCATAGGGTCAGCAGGAATGCCTGTATGTCTATCTTGCCCCTTTTTAACCTGTTGACTACTAATTCCCACAGATTCAGATGTAGGTGTGCATTAAAACTGTTGCTAGTTGGTAATTCAACAAGTACTCCTTAAAAGTCCAAATCTGTGTTATGGGGTTCTGGAAATCCCTATATTCAGACAGAGCTCATAGGCCATTGAGGATAACCAGATTCACCAAGAATATGAAGCTCTCTCTTTGTATTGCTGGGTATTAGTTAATAATTAGGATTTTCATAAGAAAGCAACTGAAGCTACTTTTTGAACAAAAAGACTGGAGGCAAAAGACTGGAGGATGAGAATTGGTTTAGGCATGTTGACTTCACAGGACTCTCAGTCACACAGTTCTAGGAATCAGTTGGAGAAGCAGAAGCAGGTTAGTTCTCAGGAGAAGGAGTCATGAGTGGTTGTGAGGGAAGGTTGAACACACACACACACACATACACTCACTCACTCTCATTCATGCACCAACATCCATAAATACACTCAGAAAAATGTATATGCATGTAAGAAAATACACACAGAATGCAAACAACCCACATGTTACCGTAGGCACTCCATAGACACACATGTGCAAATAGATTCCTAAATCTAGGGGTATTACAAACACACAAACAGCCCCTGCCCAAACCAGCTCCTCTCTTTGCTCCTTCCCAACCCAAGCAGGCCAACCCTGAAGGCATTTCAAACAATCCAGACTTTCTATCTCTTTTGAAGTTTCATGTTCCACTTGCTTGTTTGTTTTTCTTCCTTATGATTAAGTAGAAAAATGGCTGTTTCCTAATAGGGAGGGAAGACTTTGGTCAAATAAACTTCAGGTTATTTTTTAGCTGCACTTCAATCCTGTAACAAGGCAGAATAGCTTTCATCACTCTGGCTGGGAAACACATTTCTGGTGCTTTTAAAAACTTCTTCATTGAAAACTTATGCATGTGCTACTTGGTAGACTGGGCAATTGACCCAGGGTCAGGGATGACTTTTGGTGAAGCATCAGGCCTTAGCAGCTAGTGGAAGCATGAACCCAGGCTCCCCTGAGACCACAGATAACATGGAAAAAATAGATGAAAATTTATTATAGTTGGCTGGGTTCTTGACTCACTTGGTCTAGAGTACTTTTTAAGGAAATAGAGACAGACTTTTATTAACAAAGTGATGGAATTACGGTGCCGTTTTAATCATTAAACCAGCACCACCCATAATCCTATTTTTAAAAAAATATATATTTTATTGATCTTTCACAGAGAGGAAGGGAGAGAAACAGAGAGAGTTAGAAACATCGACGAGAGAGAAACATCGATCAGCTGCCTCCTGAACATCCCCCACCGGGGACGTGCCCGCAACCCAGGTACATGCCCCCGACCGGAATCGAACCCGGGACCTCTCAGTCCGCAGGCCGACGCTCTATCCACTGAGCCAAACCAGTTTCGGCCACCCATAATCCTTTATAGCCATTTCACTCCTTGGTCAACCACTGACCTCCAAAGACATAGATCCTGTGTTTGACAGAAAGTTCCATGTCTGTTTTGTTAATATCAGTACCACCAGTGCCTAATTCATTGTTTGGTATTTGGAAGACTTGCAGCAGTTTGTTAAATACAAAAATGAATGAGATGGGAAAAATTAAATTTGAGGAGAAAATTATAACTGTGTTCCTCAATTTGACTAAAAGTTCTTCAAAGGTGGAAAACATGTTAGGTACATTTCTGTATCTCCAGTACCTAGCACAGGAATTGACACAGGTACTCTGTGTTTGCTGAAATTAAATGAAATATTAGTAGCAAGTCCTGCCAATAAAGACAGGAAAGTAACTTTTTTCAGGGGACACTGTTGAATAGCAAGACTAATGAGTTTCTAATTGATGGCTCCAAGCTTTAGGCTTCTCCATCCATGTTTTGGTGGCTTCTCTACCTATGAAAATAAGGAGCTGTGACAATAGGGAATTGGGCAGAGATGAAAGCTGAACAGTTGTAGATTTTTCTAAGGGGAAAGTCGGAGAAAGAAATAAACTTAATGCAGAGCATAAGATATAAGCTGTAAACTGGTTATTATTGGGATCTTATAGGCATCCTATCTAATAAAAGAGAAACATGGTAATTAGCGTATGACCGCTACCCTTCCCATTGGCTAATGAGGGCGATATGCAAATTAACTGCCAGCCAAGATGGCGGCCGGCAGCCAGGCAGCTTAAACTGAACATGAGGCTTGCTTGCTTCGGTGACGGAGGACTGCAACATTCCCGCCGGCCTTGCCGGCCTCTGAGCTTGCAGTTTGAAACATTGTAACAAATATAGAAGCTAAACAAAACCCCAGAAACCAGCTTTCAGCTGGCTGGGATCTCAGAGCTAGAGTTAATACAGAGTTTCAATTATAGAACCCAAACAAACCAGATACCTGCTTTCAGCAGCTGAGGCCTCAGAGCTGGAGCCAGAGCTAAAGCTGGCCCAGAATAAAAAATAAAAAATAAAAAAAGGAGCAGTTGGAAGCTTCAGTCACCCGCCAGCCTGAAAACAGCCCTCAGCCCCTCACCCAGACTGGCCAGGCACCCCAGTGGGGACCCCCACCCTGAAGGGTGTGTGACCAGCTGCAAACAGCCATCATCCTCTCATCCAGGCTGGCCAGGCACCCCAGTGGGGACCTCCGCCCTGATCCAGGACACCCTTCAGGGCAAACCAGCCAGCCCCACCCATGCACCAGGCCTCTATCCTATATAGTAAAAGGGTAATATGCCTCCCAACAATGGGATCAGTGGAGCCGCGAGGCCTCCCGGCACCAGATCAGCATGACAGGGGGCAGCGCCCAAACCCCCTGATCACCCTGCAGCTCTGTGTGTGACAGAGGGCGGGGCCACAACCTCCATATCCGCCCTGCTCTGTTCCTGACAGGGGAAGGCTCCCCAATCCCCTGATCGGCCCTGCTCTGTGCCTGATAGGGGGGAGCTCCCCAACCCCCTGATCACCCTGCAGCTCTGTGTGTGACAGGGTGTGGCGCCCCAACCCCCCCACCCCACGGGCCCTGCTCTGTGTGTGACGGGGTAGAGCCATAACCTCCCCATCGGCCCTGCCTTGAGTGTGAGAGTGGCGGCGCCCCAACCCCCTGATCGGCCCTGCTCTGTGGGTGATAGAGAGTGGCGCCCCAACCCCCCTCCCCACGGGCCCTGCTCTGTGTGTGATGGGGTAGAGCCATAACCTCCCCATCGGCCCTGCCCTGAGTGTGACAGTGGCGGTGCCCCAACCCCCTGATCGGCCCTGCTCTGTGGGTGATAGATGGCAGTGCCCCAACTCCCCTATCGGCCCTCCTCTGTGAGTGACAGGGGGAGCTCCTCAACCCCCTGATGGGCCCTGCTCTGTGCATGACAGGGGGGAGCTCACCAACCACATGATCGACCCTGCTCTGTGCATGAAAGGGGGGAGCTCCCCAACCCCCTGATTGGCCCTGCTCTGTGCGTGACAGGGGGCAGCTCCCAAACCCCCTGATCGGCCCTGCTCTGTGCATCACAGGTGTCAGCGCCCCAACCCCCTGATTGGC